CCGGCAGTTCAGGTTAAAGGAATGCTTTATGTGCGGTTGAACTTGTAACTAACTGAAACAGAAGTTTCTCGTATTGATTATTGAGATGCTTTGAATAAGAAGATCAAGGAACTATTTTTATATTCATGCATAATGAGAAAACCATCCTAGTTACAATGCTTAAATTTCCATTTGCATCTGAAGACATCGAGATCTATCTTTCGTGGAAATATCATAATTTTCAGCTTATTCAACCATTTCTAATTATGGTGTAGCCTCCCCGAGGGGTGTCTCACTCGGGTAAAAAATGTACACGTACTGCCAAAATATCCTTCCACTGCTAAGCGACTGCCAATGACTGTGAAGAAGACTGCCTATGACTGCCATGTAATTATTATAGGCGACTGCCATAAGATTGCCATAAGACTGCAAATGACTGCCAGCGACTGCCAGCGACTGCCAAGAAAATGTACATGTAATTCCAATAGTGAGACACCCCTCGAGCCTCCCTTACATACTCTGTTTGTAGTTGGGCCCATTGTTGTCTATTGTCTATGAGAGCCCAAGTTATCCCTGCTAATTTCCTAATATCATGGTCCCATCTCATGTTCGGTCTTCTTCTAGGTCTCTTAATTACTCGTGAGTACCATGCTGTAATTTTTGTGGTTCATCTCTTATCCGTTCTTCTGGCAAGATGTCCTGCCTATTGCCAATTGAAGGATTTGATCCTATTACCTGGGTATTTTGTCGTATCCACTCTATTCTTTAGGGTACATCTTGGTTATTCCCAGCATATTTCCTTCCAGTAAACGTTGTGCGACTTGCAGTTTTCTTATGATGTCCGTGTTAAGTGTCCAGGTTTCGCATGCTTAGGTCATGACTGGTAGTACACATTGGTCGAATGTTTTCTTGTTTAGATAGATTGGGATTCTAGATTTGAATATGATTGAGTTTCCTCCATAAGTACTCCATGCTAACTTAATTCTTCACCACTCTAGAGATTTGTTGGTCACCTATTGTTTTGTGGTCTTTCTAGTGCTGTTGCAACGCTGCAGAAAGATTCTGAATGCCTATGATTGGCTCTGATCAGCCTTGTTAGGTCACTTCATCTTCCTTCTAACCTACCCTACATTTCTGACTCTCGTGTCTTGGTACTCAAGCTAACGTGGTACAGTAATAAGGTACTAGTGAAGATGGAACCAAATATGTCGAAAATGCTAAAGCAATGTTATTGTGGTTTATAGTTAAAGGGCTTATTGTAATAACATTATAAGCCATTCAACCAGAAATCAGTTTTATTAACTAGTAACTGTGTTTTTTATTGCCTTTTATCCAACAAATTTGTTACATAAATACTTAAAGTTATAGCGAGTTAAAGTAAACTAACTCTAAAACGTCTTCAAATTTATATTTTATTAATAGTTAAATTTACACATTTTTTTCAAAACTGCAAAGTCTAATAATTCGGAATTATGGATTTGTAGCAAATCGTGATATTACAACAAGTCCTTCAATTATATATATACTCCAGGGTTGTCGCAACTAACGTCGCATCCCCACGCCTAACCGCCACCTGTTACGATCAAGAACATCTTCCTCTTCCAAGTTACGGTCCTCCATTGCCCTTCTGATGGCCATCAGGGTGCATCATTCCAAGATCTTCTAGGCTGTCCTCTTTCCTTTTTCCAGGAGGTGACCAGCTGTAGATACGGTAGGGCCATCTTTGGTGTTCCATGCGTAGCAAGTGTCCAAACCACTTAAGGCCCCTCTGTTCGACTCTATCCACTATTGTCTGTGTGTGGCATCCATTTTGGCTCTGATTTCCACGTTCCTAACTCTGTCCAGTTTAGATACTCCCGACTGCGTCTCAAATAGTCCATTTCGAGTGCATTCAAAGCTCGCTTTTGTTCAGCTTTTAAGGTCCAAACTTCACACCCATAAGTTACTACCGACTCCACTAGGGCTCTTCCAATATGTACTTTTGTGTTTGGTCTTATGTTTTTGTCCCACCAGATGCCATTCAGTGCTCCTATAATCATCCGCTCTGTTCTATTCTAGCAGATACTTCTGTTTTGTCCAGTCCCTTTCTGGTTATACGTGCCCCCAAATATTTAAACCATTCAACCTGTCTGAGCTTTGCATTGTCAGTAATAAAAATGTCAAATTTATCATCTGAATTGGTCACTAGATATTCCGTTTTATCAATGTTCACAGTAAGGCTCCAGTCCGTGTATGCCGAATTTAATCTGCTCATCATGAATTCAAGGTCGTAAGCATCTTGAGCTATGACTACCTGATCATCGGCAAAATTCATGTAACCAAACAGTCATCTCCTACAGGGACGCCCATTCCCCCACACCTCTTCGTCCAGTCCCTAAGAACCACTTCCAAATACAGATTAAATAAAAGAGGCGACAGAGAACATCCCTGTCGAAGGCCCTTGGTCATAAAAATTACCTTAGACAGTCGGTTACTGCTCTTAACATGAGCTGTGTTGTTGTTGTACAGCACCTTAATTAAATTAATGAGATATTCATCCACATCAAGTTGTTCCAGTATGTAGCATAGTTTAACCCTGGGGATGGAGTCGTAAGCTTTTTGAAGGTCTACAAAAGCTAGATGTGTATCTTCTTCACGTGAATTCCGTTTTTCTATCAGTTGTTGGATAGTAAATAGATTATCTAGACATGAACGCCCTGCGGTAAAGCCACTCTGCTTTTCACTGATTTTGTTGTAAGTAGATATTTCTAACTTATTTCTAATTATTTTTGTAAAAAGTCTGCTGAAGGTGCAATTCACACTAAAACCTCTGTAGTTATTCGGGTCTTTTCTGTTCCCTTTTTTATATATAGAAGTGATATAGGCTAACTTCCATTCATTAGGTATTTTATTCCGATCTACACACATCTGCATTAAGTTTGTTATTTCTGTTCTAAGACATCCTCCGCCATATTTTAGCATTTCAGCCATAATACCACCCGGTCCTGGAGCTCTACCGTTTTTCAGAGACACCAAGGCTTGTTTAACTTCCTCGATCGATATATCTGTTCTAGCTTCTGTAATAGTGACGGCTTCATTGTTTTGTAAAAACTGTGGTCGTTGTTCTATTATTAGGTTTTCATAATGTGTTAAATAATAATTCCTTCAATTATACTTTTGAAATATGGTAAAATAGTAGATGTTTTGATTTTCATTGTATCTCAGCAAAGCTTTAAATTTCTTTCATTCGACGATTCAAATATCTATAAAAATCGTAATTTCAAAATTAATCAAATTATAACATATTTTGATTGATAACAACAAGGACACTTTCTAAATAAGAGGCCAATATGTTGTCACATAACAAACATTAACGTATTATTTTTATGTTTCTTTTAAGTTTACACGACGCCTCGAGCTGTTCCATTAATTCCCCTTTCGGGATTAAGTAAAAGCCACTCTGCGCGAGAAAAAGTAAGACAATGCGATAAAAGAGAGATAAAAGAGTTTCGCAACTGGTCGAAATGTGGGGAGATAGGGTGCTGTGACAGATGCCCCGGCCGTGCTAAGGTAATAATGTCCGCCATTTGTCTTCATTTGCTTAAGACTCGACAAACAGCTCCAGTTTTCCAGGCTATGTTTTGGATATCCAGTGCGATGCCGAATGCTAGTGGGGCACAAACGGTACAAATAACACGATTGAAGATGAGCAAAATAGATTTTCGAAACGAGAAATAATGATTATTACCTTTGCTTTAATGATGGGGCGAAAGAACAAGTAAATACAGGAAATGATTGCTGTCAATGCTGATATAAAGCTTTACAGTATTGTTCTAAGCCAATTTTATAAAAATAAAAACAAAAATATTTATTTATATTTACAAAAATAAGTTTTATATTTTTGATAGCTTTAGTGGTATTTTTATGATTTTTTTGGTTGTGCTCTTTTACCCTAACTTTAAAACACCCTGTGGAATAATTTCGTGTGTAAATTTTGTAATTTATAATTTTATGGTCAGAACCATGACTTCGATATATATCAATAATTTTAATTCATAAACTAAGTTTTTTAGTATTTGGCACATTATACAGGGTTAATCGGGGGGTTGTGCTCTTTTACCCTAACTTTAAAACACCCTGTGCAATAATTTGTGTGTAAATTTTGTAATTTATAATTTTATGGTCAGAACCATGACTCCTGAGAATTTTGATTTTTGTTTCATGTCAATACATGCTTTGGTTAATTTTTAAGAGCGAAATGAACTGATGACGATCAATTTGCAATTTTTTTCAATTATCATTACTTTTTCATGTAATTTTTTGATATGACGAGATGGTTTTGTTGACTATTGTCGTAACGTCATATTACGCTGCATTGAATGAGAAAGAAGATATACATATATTAAAGAAAACATCTGTAATACTCAAGTATACAAACAGAAAAAAAAAATATAAAAAATACCATAGTATTTTTTATTGCCTTTCTTGGCTGCTATAACTGCCTGTATATGTTCGTTCAAACTGTCGTTGAGGCTGCATATACCATATTGCGTTATGCTTTTCCATTCTTCTTTAAGAACCAAACGAAATTCATTTAATGAAGCTGGTACCGCTTTGCGACCTCTAACCCTCCTGCCAAGCATTTCTCAAACGTCAAACATGATGGGCAGTTTATAGTAGTATATAGTTCACAATAATCACCAAAGCCGCTTTGTTATAGAGAAAAATAACTTTAAAAAGAAATGGTAATTGAAAAAATTGCAAATTGTTGGTGATAAGTTCATTTCGCTCTTAAAAATTAACCAAGACCAAGAGAGGTTTATTGACATTGAACATGTACACATAAAAGTGGCTGAGTTAAGTGAGCACTTTGGGTTGAGTTTGTTAGATGAAGTCAGGAGAGTGTTTTTAGAGATGTGTTTTATTTTTAAATTGTTAACAAATATTGTAATTTCTCCTGGCTTACTACAACGAATAAACTTTGTTGTATTTTGTTGTTTTAAAAATGTTTTTGAAAGTGTTTTTAGCAGTGTACTGATATATTTACGAGCCCTAACAACTATATGTTGGGACAAGGTCATATTTTGGAATTATTGCCCTTGTTTTTCAAAATGACTGAAAAATAGATATTTAATTTTTTAAATATAAACATAGCCATATATCCTAAACAACTTGACAATATTTTTATGTATTTGTAAATCAATCCATATTTACAGTAGCGGATTTTGTTCATAAAAGGACAAATTTGCTGACAACTAAATGTTGGGACAAGTATTTTTAAATAATTAATATCATCATAGGCGGCTTTGCTATAAACGTCCCAAATGTCTCAAACTGTTTACTTCAGCATTGACAGCTTGTAAGTGACTCGATACTTTGAGTAGTGGGATTTACTGTAAGTAATTTTAATTTTCAATTTTGTTAATTTAATTCAAGGTAATGGTCCGTGGAAAAGCTACAAATCAAAAACTACGCGAAATTATCATTCGTCAATACAGTAGGGGAAAAACAATTCGAAAAACTTCTGATGATTTAAGTATTCCAAAAACCAGGGTCTTTAAAATAATAAAAAAATACGGCGAATCTGCCAACGTAGACGTTAGAGGTAAAAGTTCGGGAAGGCCAAAAGTTGTATCTCAGAGAGACAAAATGTAGTAAAATTTTGCAAGTCTGCGAGAAGAAGTACTCTTCGCGAAGTAACAGTTAAATGGAATACTGTAACTGGTTTAAATATATCAAGAGAATGTTGCCGAAAATGTATCCATAAATGCGGTCTGGGGTTTTACAAGGTAAACTTTATTTTGTGTGGATAATCAATTACCTGAAGATTATTGATACAAATTCTTATTTAGGCCGAAGAAAAACCGCTACTGACAGAAATTCAAAAGAAAAATCGCTAAAATTGGACAAAATCTAAATTATCGTGGACACAAAATGATTGGAATAACGTCATATTTAGTCATGAGTCTAAATTTGATGTTTGTGTGGGAGATCATCGAAAACGAATAATACGAAATAAAGCAGAAGCCTTTCATAAAGATTGCTTGAAGAGGGTTGTTAAATTTCCTAAGGGGATTATTGTTTGGGGCTGCATGTCAGCAAGAGGTTTGGGCAAATTAAATTTTATAGATGGCACTGTTAACGCCCAAAAATATCAACATATACTTGAGACCTGACTTTTGCCTAGTGCTCTAGAATTGTTTCCAAACGAAGCCTATATTTTCCAACAAGATGGAGCATCGTGCCATTCAGCAAAAGCAACTAAAAATTGGTTCGGTAATAATAATAAAAAAGTTCTATCCCATCCTGCAAGTAGTCCGGGCCTCAATGTTATAGAAACTGTGTGGCATAAAATGAAGCAATATTTAAGAAACCACCCTCATCGAACAATTTTTGTTTTGCGGACAAAACTGCAGGAAATTTGGGATAATTTTTCTCCTCAAATGTGCCAATCTTTGGTAAATACAGTACCATTAAGAGTTCAGGCAGTTGTTAAGGCGAAAGGTGATGTAACTCCGTATTAAACAAATTTCTTGTTGTGCTGTCCCAATATATAGTTGTCAGCAAATTTGGCTTGATTTTGGCAAAATAAGGTATTATTAAAAGCGATTTGTTTGCAAAGTTATAAAAATATAGTAAAA